ATCCGGCTCGAGAAATGACGCAGAAAGCTGGGGACTAGGGCTCTGGACGTGATATATTACGATGATGCAATCCCCTCGCGTCGTGAAAAAAAACACGATTGGAGATTTGTCGCTCTTCTCGGCCTCCTGGGGGTCCTTGCCGGGCCTCGGGGCCGTCAAAAGAAGACTCGGAATAAAAAACGGGTCCCGGGGAAGGGGCCCAGACCTCTGGGGAAGGGGTCCCGTGGGGATGGAGCCAGAGTGGCTACCATAGGACGCAGGAGGACATAATTTTAGGTCGGGCCTGTCCACCTACAGGGGGATCTTGGGCGAAAAAACAAACATTTACAAACATAGAATTAAAACAAAACTCTAAAAATGCCCAAAAAATGTCAGACAAAAACGTCCCCTGATTATTTGTGTACTATTTGTGAATATTCCCCCTGTAGAGGGACAGGCCCGACTTCAACATAATCCAGCTACACGCAAGAGTGACCCCAAGGCAGGAGTGACCTCTGGGGCGCGGGTTCGAGGGGGACGCGGACAAGCCGTACCTGGACGCGCACGCCGCTGCTGACTCTCCGCGTTCGGCGATCGGGGGACCCCATGGGGCCCGCCCAGAGCGCGCAAAAACCACGATGTGCTCCCATGTAACCTGGTCGAGCGCCGCGCGCCTGCGTCCGGGGCGTCGCCGGCATGCTTGTGCAGTGTTCTGTTCCTGTGTTCGTCGGGGGGTGCTAAAAAGGTGCCCCTTGCCCAAGGTGCTCCCAGCTTTTCGCGTAATGCTGGAGCCCCTGGTCGAAGAAGAAAAAAAACTGCATAAATATCAACTGTCGGCGCTCCACGCGGATTTCTTGGATCCGCGCTGGAACCCCCTCCCTGGCGCGCGGAGCGCGCCAGGGGCGGCGCCAGAGGCGCCGCCGGGGGGGCCAGCGCAGATCCAAGAAGTCCGCGCGGAGCGCCAAGAGTTTATGCTCATGCCGTTTTGTCTTCTTCGACCAGGGGCTCTCTGTAGATGCCTCCTAGATGGGGTCGGAGTAGGTGGGGTCGGAGGATCGCGCCGCATCGCCGATGCATCGGGATGCATCGGCGAGGCATCGGCGATGCACCGGCGATTTGTCGCCGACGTGGGCGATGCATGGGTGACGTCGACGCGAGGCATATCGGGCTCGACATCGAGCCGCAGCGGCGATGCATCGGCGATGCGGCGCGATCCTCCGACCCCTATCTGCTCCGACCCCATCGAGGAGGCCTGGACTCTGGGCCACGAGCTCCGCACGGTCTGCCGACTCCGAAGGCTGCCGCTTGCGTCGTCTCCGACTGCGCGGCAGTCTCCTGGGGGAGGAAGAGAGGAGGGACGCGGGGAGGAGGAAGGAGGAGGAGGAGGAGGAGGAGGAGGAGGGAGGAGGCGGACGAGGAGGAGGACGAGGAGGAAGGAGGAGGAGGAGGAGGAGGAAGAGGAGAAGGAGGAGGAGGAGGAGGAGGACGAAGAGGAGGAGGAGGAGGAGGAGGAGGACGACGACGAAGAGGAGGAGGAGGAGGAGGACGAAGAGGAGGAGGAGGAGGAGGACGAAGAGGAGGAGTAGGAGGAGGAGGAGCTTGGCAGGTGCCTCGGCTCTTGTGCGCCAGGCGCCGCCTCAAAGAAGCATGTGCTCTGGGCGCCCTCGGTCCCAGAGCTGTGTGTGGATGTGGCACTCAGCTCTCACCCCTTCGCGCTGTTCGTCTCTCTCTCTCTCTCTCTCTCTCTCTCTCCCCCTCTCATTGACTCTCTCTCTCTATATATCATTGGCTCTCTCTCTCTCTCTATCTCCCGAAACTGCGTGGATGTGGCACTCAGCTCTAACCCCTTCGCGCTGTTCGTCTCTCTCTCTCTCTCTCTCTCTCTCCCTCCCTCTCATTGACTCTCCCGCTCTCTCTCTCTCTCGTCGCTCCTGTCCCCCGGCTTCGCCTCCACGTGATGGCCCACGTGCCGCCTGCGGCCCCCCCATCCCCAGCCGCCCACGCGCCTGCCGTGGCCAGGCCGGACCCCCTGCGACGGCGGAGCCGCCACCCCTCGGCGCCGCTGCTCGGGGCTCTCGGCTCCCCCCCGCCAGGCCGCTCCTCCGGAGAGGCGCGCCGCGCCGCAGAGGGCAGCGGCTCGTCGCCGACGGGTGCTGCACACCGCCGCTGCCCACGTGCGCGGCGCGGCGTGCACCGACCCGGCGCCGTCGCCGGGTCCTCGTCCCAGAGCTCCCCGCGCCGTGAAGCAGAAGTCACGGCGGGAGGCTTTGCGGCATGTTCGGCCCCTGGGGGTCCTTCCCAGGCCTCGGGGCCGTCAGAAAGCGACTCGGGCTGGAAAAAGAGTCCTGGGGAAGGGGCTCCGGACCTCCTGGGGTCGACGTTGTGACAAAATCACAGCGTCGGGGGTCTGGGGTGGCGGCGGCGACGGTGGTGCCAGGTCGAAGCAAGCCGAATCCTCGACATCCATTACCAGAGCGCTCCGCGGCTGGCTGTACCTACAAGCGCACAGCCCTCCCCATAAACAGGCTCTCCTGCCGGCATCCCCACCCCTCCTCGGAGAACAGGGAGTCCAAGAAGCCCACATCGATGTTGTTGTTCTCAAGCCGAAGCCAGACGGGTACCCGTGGAAAGGCCGTCTTGCTCTGGGAGTGGATGGCCTTCGCATCACGGCTGCAGCAAGGGACTGCGACGCAAGAGGAAGAAGACGACGGGAAGCGACCACCTGGTTCGAATACGCTGCATGAGGCGGATGAACAGCCTGACGAAGAGAACTTGGTTAATGGCTTCCCCACCCCCCTCCCGATACCAATCCCCGTCTCCCCTCCTCCATTCCTTCTCCTAATAAATTCGCCGGCCCAACGGGCCAGAGGCGTGCTAAGATCTCCGGTAACTTGTTAACAATATTTCTAGTTCGCGCGCGCGGAGCGGCCCCTGGGGGCCCCCGGACGAAAAGTACCCCGGCAAGGTCCCGAGAGAAGCCCGGGAGAAGCCACCAGACCACTCCAGGGGAGGGTATTTTTCGACACCCCTCACGAGGATCGTGGCCTCCGAGGGGGGAGCCGCAATCGACTACCCCCAAGAGCCCCCCAAGAGGCCCTGGGGGCCTCCAAAACGCCGCCAAGGAGCCCCAAGAGACTCCCAAGAGGTCCCCAAGAGGCCCCCAAGAGGCCCTAAAGAGGGCTCCAGGGCCGGCGGCATGAGCGAAGCGATTAAATAATTTCTCCCTGTCGCACCCCGACGCCAGTTTTTAGGGCGGGCCGGGCGTTTCGCCTCAGACTTCCTGACCACTTATGCTTCTGAAGCTTAAAAAATGAATGGCTACAGTTTCACAGATGGAGGCCAGGTCGTTTTCAAAATGTGGCTTTCGCCTCAGCGCCGCACACATGCGTTCTAAAAAAATGCAAGAGTTTCACTGGTTGAGGGCGGGTCGTTTTCAAAATGTGGCTCTCGCCTCAGCGCCGCACATTTACTAAAATATTGCAAGAGTTGCACTGATTGAGGGCAGGTCTTTTTCAAAATGTGGCTCTCGCCTTAGCGCCGCGCACATTCTTCGGGTGGTTTTCAAAATGTGGCTCTCGCCTGAGCGCCGCGCACACTCGTTGCAGAAAACATCCAAGACTTTCACGGATTGAGGGCGGGTGGTTTTCAAAATGTAGCTCTCGCCTGAGCGCCGCGCACATTCGTTTCAAAAAAATGCAAGAGCTTCACGGATGGAGGGCGGTTCCTTTTCAAAATGTGGCTCTCGCCTTAGCGCCGCGCACATTCGTTGCAACAAGTTACAAGGGTTTCACAGATTTTCATGATCAACGTACCAGAAATGGCGCTTTGGAAGGATTCTGGATTTTGCGGGTGCAACAATTATGTTGGTTCGCGGTGTTGAAGTCCCACAAGTGGCGTCCTGGCACGATTCCAAATCGTCTGGACGCAGCAGTCAGGTTGATCTGTGGCGTGGAAATCCTGAGAAAAATGTTTGGGCATGCTTCAAGTTCTGCAAACGGTTGTCTTCCAACGAGGCAGTTCCCTCGATGGAACTGAACCGTGCAGGATCCTATGAAGAGGGAGCTTGGAGGGAGGGTGAACCTCAACATCGTTGATGACGCTTGGGTTTACACTGGTCCTCCGCTTCCTCCTCCTCCTCCTCCTCATCATCCTCCTCCTCCGTTCTATGCCACCTTTCCCCAGTCCTGCCTCCTGCCACGACTCCTTCTCCTCCTCCGCTCTGCGCACCCTCTCGCGCGGGCAAAAAAGAGAGGCAGGGGGTGCGTTGCGGGTTGCCAAGAATGCATGCAGAGGAGGAGGAGGAGGAGGAGAAGGAGGAGGAGGAGGAGAAGGACGAGGACGAGGAGGAGGAGGAGGAGGAGGAGGAGGAGAGAGTAGTGTTGGGCGTGTTGGGTAGTATGCTCGACGCCTGGTCGGGTGTCTGCAGTCTTCCACGGGCGGCTCCTCCCCCCTCGACGCACAACTGCGCGGGAAGAGGTCGTCCGGAGCGCGGTGCTCCTCGATCCTCTCCTCGGCCACAACACCCCAGCAGCCTTTCAGGACAGGGTGTTCTGTCGCTGTTCCTCTTTCCTCGCCCCAAGCCCCCCTTCATTTCAGGGAGGGGTACCCTCCCTCCTCCCCTCCCTGAGGTTGTCGTTGGCAATTCCGCGATGTTTCAGGGAGTTCTGGTTCGCCCAAGCTGGCGTCGAGAGGGCCTCCGATGCTCCAAGATGGCCCCCAAGATGGTTCAGGATAGCCGAAACTAGTTCAAAGATGGCTTCCGACATGCCTCCGAGAGGTCGCGACAGGACCACAAGACAGCGCCAAATGCTGAGCCCCCTCAGGACTCCCCCAGATGTCCAAAACCAAAAAAAAAACCTACGGAAAATCAATGATGTGAACCTTCTCGCCTTTTTCGCTTGCAATGCGACTTTGAGACCTCAAAATGGCCCAAAGATGGCCAAAGAGTCCCAAGAGAGGCCCACGAAGCCTCCAAAACCGCGCAAGAGCGCCCCAAGGGGGCCCGAAGCAGCCCCAAGGGGCGAGTGTCGTCATCATTCTCGTTCTCCTCCTCGTCATCTTCCTCGTCCTTGTCCTCCTCCTCCTCCTCCTCCTCCTCCTCCTCCTCCTCCTCCTCCTCCTCCTCCTCCTCCTCCTCCTCTTCCTTCTCGTCCTCCTCCTTTTCCGCCTCGTCCCAGGTCTGCTCAGGCTAATCCAACACCTGTTCCACTGCATGCGTCGACAACTCGCCTGGGCAGCGTTTCTGGATGGGCTGGCGGGGATACGTGAAGTGTGAAGAACTGCCAACTACCACTCGACAGCGGCTGCATGATGCCCGCAGACTGGCCCAAGACGGCTCAAAGTTGCTGCTGAGGCTCGGATAGGTCCCTAAGAGGCCCGAAGAAGCCACCAAGAGGCCCTCAGGAAGGCCTCCAGCAGCGCCCCAGGAGGTCAAAAACACTGAGAGCACACAACGCTTCAATATATGTGTTCTGGTTCCTATGCGTTTCCGATTCAAGGTGCGTCGTGCTGAAGCCGCCAGGACGAACCAAGACGACTCGGGGGGAGCTCCAAAATGGCCCAAGAGCGTCCCAAGACGTCTCCCTAATGGCCTCGAGGCGGCGCCCGAAGATGATGGCTCTGCCGCCGCTTCGGGAGACCGCAATGGAACAATCGCGCACGACACTGCCCCGAGACCGTTAAAGAGGTTATTCAGACCCCGAGAGGCCCCGAAGATGTCCCCCAAGATGCCCAGAGAAGCACCAAGGAAGCCTCCAAGAAGCCCCAGAGATCCCCAAGAGACGGCGCCACGCGCCAACATGGTAGCGGCACTTCCCAGACGTTCCCAATCCAAATCTGCCGGGCCTGCCCGCGGGATCTCGACGGAACCATCCTGCACCCGTTTCGATGCCGCGCTGGCACGGTGGTGGGAACCATCCTGCATCCGCTTCGATGCTGCGCTTGCACGGTGGTGGCGTCTCAGGCAGGAAGGCGGACATCAGGCCTGTGGCAGGCGTGTGCATGTCAGTCGGGTCGTCGCCAGGTCGCGCGTGGGTCGCGGGGCGGGTCGTGGGGCGGGCCATGGGGCCGGTCGCAGGCGTGCTTGCTTGCGATCGATCGCTCTTGCTTGCTCGCGCGCTCCCCAGGGCCTCGCTCCCCTTCTTTTTTTTGTTCTCGACGCGATCACTGCTTCCGCCCGCCCTCTGTCGCCTGACAATCCGCCCACTCTTTTGCCCAGTGAGGCTTGTCCATGCCGATTGCGCACCCGTTGTCGAACGCCTTCTCCTTGAGCGGCATCTTCACGGAGTCTGGCGCGCCCTCAACCTCCGCGTGGAGCCACCTCATGACAGGGGGGCTGATGTAGTGCGAGGAGAGAAAGTCGCTGTGCGCCATACCCTCGTAGTCCGCGATCTTCGCGAACGGCTGGCTGTACATGCTCTTCCCGCTGGCGAGTCTCACCTCGCGCTTCCGGAGCTGGCAGCTGGTCGTCATGTCGTTCGGCCACGCGCTCTTGTCGTAGATCGCGTGCAGCGCCGGTGCGCCGTCGGCCAAGAGAAGCTGCAGGGCGGCACGGCTGATGATGTACCCCTGGCCGCCGCAGAAACCACCTCCCTCCTCGTACGCCTTGACGTCGCGGCAAAACTTCCCTTTCCCGCACCCGACGCCGCCGTACGCGACAGCGGCGCTGGGGTCCTTGTCGCTCAAGAACTCCTCGACGTGCCCCGTGTGCACGTAGTTGTCCTCGCCGATCACGTACATCCAGTCCGCCCCGCGCGACGCGCCCTCTGCCAGCAGCGTAGCCTCCTTGCAAGAGATCGACTTCATGTCGTCCCCGCACTCCGACCGGAGGACGTTGCTGCCCTGCCACTCCTCGGGGTAGTTGCTGCCGCCCACGGCCACGTACCTGCCCTGCGCCGCGGGGCGGGCCGCCCACGTGTCCAGCTGGGCGAGCAGGGCCTCGTGGTACCTGGGGATGGCGCTGGTGAAGACGGCCAGAGGAGCAACAAAAGCGGCACGGGGGCAAAACCTTTCGGACCTCCGCCCGGGCTTCTTGCATCGGCGCTGGACCTCCCTGGCGGCGAGGAGGAGGAGGAGGGGGAGGAGGAGGGGGAGGAGGAGGAGGAGGAGGAGGAGGAGGAGGAGGAGGAGGAGGAGGAGGAGGAGGAGGAGGAGGAGGAGGAGGCCGGCGCCGCCCCTGGCGCGCTGCGGCGCGCCAGGGAGGGGGGAGGCCCTGCGCCGACCCGAGAGCTCCTCGCGGGCCTTCGAACGGTTCTGCTTGTGCCGTTTCTTGCTCGTCGGGATGGCGTACACCACGTTCCCCGCCCAGCGCGCGGAGACCTCGCCGACCGGGTGTCGCCAGAAGTGGCCCTGGCCTGCGGTGCCCCCTGCTTTTCGCAGCACTCTGGAGCCCCTGGGGCCCTCTCTACACCCGCGAGAGGTGCTCTGGAGGCCACGTGAGCGACGAAGAGAAAAGTACACCAGAGAAAAGCCCCAATCAGTGGATGGTTTTCGCTGAGGAGATCGACCGGGAACCCGGGAGCCCGGGAACCCAGAACCCACCCAAATCGGCCCGGAAACAATAACCTGGAACCGGGGAACCCGGAGCCGGGAACCCGGGAACCCAGCCTGCCACCAAAATCGGCGGGAAACTTTCGCCGAATGTTTCAACCTCCGCCAGGACCCCTTCAGTGCAAACACTGATTGGGACATGTGTCCTACGCGAGATGGCATGGTGACTGCACGCCGCGGCGTACGCGGGCCGCAAGCGCGGCAAGCCGCAGCAGAAACGAAGGGCGCTGACGCTCGACCCTGCGTGGGGGGTAGCTTGCGCGCGAATGCCCGCGCAGTCGGGCCCGTGTTTCCGCACTGCTCACGAGGGCCTCCCCGAGGATCCTGGGGACACTTCGGTGGCAACTCATGGGAGCCTCCCATGCCCTCTTGCTGGCACTTGCAAATCGACGCTGGCGGAGGATTTCAAATTGTGCTCGTTTCTAACTGTTCCTGGCCCTCTGGTGGCCAGGAAGAGGCCCAGGATAGAACAATTAGAAATGAAAGGATCTTGGCCCCCAAAACATCAAGAACCTTCGACAAAAATGAAAAGGCAACGATGTGCGATCGACGCTTGCCGACGCCAACCGACGCCAATCGACGCTCGTCGACGCTAAATCGGCGCTGTCTCATCGCCTGCCAGACGCCAGCGCACGCGAGTGCACTCTGAAGGCGGAGTTATACGAGGACACGCGAGGCTCCCACGATTCTGCTGTGGGAGGGGCCCGATGCACACACACACACACACACACACACACACCACGTAGTTTTTGGTCGGCCACGGAGCTCGGTGTGCAGACGCCTCGTCTGCCCCACCTGCGGGACGCCGGAGCGCTTGTACGTCGAGCGCCTGCGCCGAATGCATGCATGCATTGGCTCCTTGGCCGACCCAACGACGAGGTGTACACCTCCACTCCAGAGAAGAGAAAGCTGCATGAACGTAGACTTTCGGCGCTCCGCGCGGATTTCTTGCATCCGCGCTGGGCCCCCCTCCTTGGCGCGCGGAGCGCGCCTGGGGCGGCGCGGGAGGCGCCGCCAGGGGGGCCCAGCGCAGATCCAAATACTCCGCGCGGAGCGCCAACAGTTTATGTGTATGCTTTTTTTTTCTTCGACTCCAGCCCCCGCGATGCTGCCGAAGGACACCCTGGGCCAGGAACGCCTGTGGCAGCACCCGAGCTGACAGTGTGCCCCTTGGCCGCCGAGGCGTTGGCCGCGTGCCGGCCGTCACCCGCAAGGCGGCCGCCCTCCCCGCCCTGCAGCAGGGCGGCGCGGGGCGGCGGCAGGTGCAGCGCGGCGCACGCGGAGGCCAGCGCCGCCGGCAGGAGCAGGCGGCGCGCAACCGCCATGGCCCGGCGGAAGAGACCCAGGCCTCCAACGCAGGGACAAAAAAAAGTAGTAAAAAAATAATAGTAATAAGATTAATAATTTGCATAATAATATTATTATTAATATTAAGAGTAAGACTAATAATAACAATACTAATGTCAATAGCAATAATAAAGATAACTAGTATTACTAGTATACTAATAATAATAATAATAATAATAATAGTAGTAGTAATAATAATAATAATAATAGTAATACTAATACTTATAAAATTAATAATAATAATAATAATAATAATAATAATAATAGTAATAATAATAATAATTATTATTATTGTTAGTATTAGTATTCGTATTATTATTAGTACTATTATTGTCATTCGTAGTATTATGCTTATGATTATAAAAAATGCGTGCTTCTTCGTCGCGCTCGGCGCCCAGCTGCCCCGACACGCCGCACGCAGCCCGTTAGCGTGTTGGCACGGAGCTCCACTCGTAGACCGAGTGCGCAGGTCCGGCGCGGTGTGCTCGCCGAAGCGTGGGCAACGGTGAGCCAACACGCAGCGTGTCGACACGGACGTCTTGAACACGGCACGTGTTGCGTGTCAAGACGGGCGCATCAGGGCAGCTAAGGTTCGGCGTCTGCTCAGATGACGGCGGTGGGCGCTAAGGGGGTAGGGAGGGTTCAAGCGGACGTGAAGGTCGATTACGTCTGGCCTAAACTAGCTCATAAGTAGGCTACCACTGCCCTAGATAGGGGGCCACATGCGAACCCTACCCCTACCCCCCACGATTTCTGAGGGGGAGGGTGCTACTAGATGGCTCAAAAGGGCTAGGTAACTCTGGCATGTGGGCTCCGCCCACTTAGCCCAAGGCTTTGCCCCCCGTGGTCCGCTCAGGGAACTTGGACCCCACTCATCAGCCTTCAGTTGGGCCTGTCCCCCTACAGGGGATTTTGGACGAAGAATAAACAATAGTCAAACAATACCCTTAGATATGCGAAAAAATAGAGTTTAAAACAATCTATGTCCCAATACTATGTTTGGACTATTTGTTATTATTCCCCCTGAAGGGGGACAGGCCCGACGTAAGGTTAGACCAGACAGAACCGACCCTCATATCCACTAAAAAACCCTTGTCCCCCTAGCAACCCCCGCAATCACCCGAGCGGGGGCGCTCGCCAGACCCCCCTGGGGCTTCAGGAAAAAGTTGCCCGGGACGAAGAGGACGGTCCCCGGGAGGTGGTCCAGAGCCCTCGGGGACCCTCCCTGGAAAGCAGCAGGGCCTCGGAGGTCTGGGGCTGGAGCTCAGGCCTCGATATGCATCCGGAGTGGGGGCCAGGATGGCCTGGGCCACGGGGGCTCCGGCCAGCGCGGCTGCGGACGGCGCGCGCCACGCGTTCTCCTCGACCGTGCCCCCCTCGTGGGGGGGGGGGGGGGCCCTCTCGTTGCGAGGGCGGGTGGTGCCTGAAGGGCGGGCGGGCGGGCGGGCGGACCCCAATGCCCATGCACGAGCTGACCGAGCATCACCAGGCGGACTGAGGCACAAAGGTGGAGCAGACGAGCTGAAACAAAATGATGTTCTCTCTCTCTCTCTCTCTCTCACACACACCATACACGAAGCAGGAGGCCCAAGACCCCCCCACCCAGGCGCAACAGCTCAGGAAGGTCCGCCCCTCCCCCTTCCCTCGGGTCGGCCCCGGGTCGGGGCAGAGAGGGCGGAGACGAAACACTGGGCAGGCAGGGGCAAAAGCGGCCATGCCGAGGAGGGAGGGCGAGCGCAGCGACGGAGGGGGGACGACACGAGCCGCACGAGCGAGCCTCCCGCCACCAATGCGCCTCCGCGGAAACAGCCGAGCGGCAGGACAGAACCTGGAAAACTCTGAGCAAGAAGAGCCCGCAGGGCGCGAACGGCAAGGTCAGGAAGGAGGGGACGAGAACCCTGCCACTGAATCGTGGCGGCGAGGAGCCCTTTCGCCCCGCGAGAAAGCGAAGAAGGCAGAGGGTCGGTTTCGCTCAGCGAGAGGCCAGCACGAACTTGGCAGGAGGAGGCGCCCACTCCCTGCACCTGGATGCGGGCCACTCTCCTCCATTGCTCGGCAGCCGCGTGCGCAGCGCCGCGGCGGAAGTCGCCGGAACGCAGCTGGCGCGGGCGCCCAGAGGACCCCGAACGGCAAGGGAAGCGGCCTCGATGGGGCCTGCCCAGGGGGAGGAGGAGGAGGAGGAGGAGGAGGAGGAGGAGGAGGAGGAGGAGGAGGAGGAGGAGGAGGAGGAGGGAAGCGGCCTCGATGGGGCCTGCCCAGGGGCGGCCTCACCCGCCCGCGAAAAAAACGCGCAGGGCCAGGAGGCACCAGAAGATCTCGACGCCGCATCTCCCATGCGGCAGGCGAGGGCGGCGCATGGGGGGGGAGGAGAAGGAGGAGGAGGAGGAGGAGGAGGAGGAGGAGGAGGAGGAGAACGAGGACGAGGACGAGGAGGACGAGGAGGAGGACGAGGACGAGGACGAGGACGCGGAGGGGGGGAGAGGGAGGAGGAGGGAGAGGGGAGAGAGGGAAGGAGAGAGGGATGGATGGAGGGAGGAGGGAGGGAGGGAGAGAGGGATGAAGGGAGGGAGGGAAGGGAGGGAGGGAGGGAGGGAGGGAGAAATGGAGGGAGGGAGGAAGGGAGGAAGGGAGGGAGGGAGGGAGGGAGGAGGAGGAGGAGGAGAAGAAGGAGAAGGCGGCGGCGGAGGAGGGGCATGCACGAGTCAACCATCCTCCTCCTCGTCTTCCTCATCCTCCTCCTCTTCCTCCCGCCCTCCTCGCCCGTATCCTCAGGGAAACCAAAAACATAAACATCAGTCCGTGGTCCGCTCGGATTTCTGGGACCGGCAATCGGACCCCTGGATGCCTGGAGCTGTCCCCTGGGACCGGCTTTTACTGGCTACACGCCAGAGCGACCCTGGGCAAAAGTGCCCTTTAGTGCGCGGACTGAGGAGGCTGAGGGTGGCCAAATCCATCCGAGTGCGCAAGCAGCCACTATCAAATCGCGCTTACTTTGCGATCGGGGGGGAGCCGGTGAGCCCACACCAAGGGTCACTCTGACGAAGGGTCACTCTTGCATGCAGTCGAGGGTCGTCCCGAGCCGTCTCGCGGACGGCTCTGGGCCCTGCGAGGGCCCCCGAAGCCGAGAATTGCTCCAAACCCGCCACCGTGATCGTTTCGCAGCGAAGGGAGGTGGGTGTCTTCCTGCTCCCTCCCTCGCGGTACGATCGGAATGGGTGAGGAAAGAACGGGTACGAAGGCCGACAGCATGCCCTGCTCATCTTCGACAGGACCCGATGTCGGCGTCGCCGCGACCGTGGCCCATGTGAGACAGAAGACAGCCTGCCCCACAGCGGCCGCTGTCGGTCTTGGACAACATGTGTGGTTGGGCATCGTAGCAATCTGTTCCGTATCGAGTTCTGGGAAAACCAAAATCGGGGATGGACAGACCCCCCTTTCGTAAAACGTGGTTTAGTGAAAATTACCTGAGGCCCAAACCTGGCGGGCGCAAGCCTGGAAAATAACGGCCACGGCGCCCTCTCGAGAGCCGAGAACGGACAATTCACTAATCGACGTGTCACTGTTGGGGGTTCTGTCCAGCCCCGACAAAAGGCACCGATGCCGCTCCTGCCCTCCCGGGGCGCGTTCTGACCAGAACTTCTGGGCGAGTCCGGCGGTGGCGGCGGGGGCCTCCCAGCAGGTCCCCCCCCCCCCAAACAAAAAAGGGACAAGGGACAACGGGCCAAGGGCAGCTGTATGCGCATCTGCTCCTCCTCCTCCGGCGGACTCCCTCCTCTAGAAGGCAGAAAATCCACCCCGATAAGAAACACCCCGACACGCGAGGCCTTTCCAGCAAACGCGCCCAAAGAAGGAATCGAACAGGGCAGGGCTGTTTAGTAAACGCCTAGGGCCGTTTAGCGAACGCCAATTGTCTGGTCCGGTGGTTTTTCCTCCCTTGAGCCTCGCCCCCCGCGCCTCCCCCGCGGAGGCGGCGAGGAGGCGCGGCAGCCGGCGGGGGCGGCGAGGCGCAGCGGCGCGCGAGCGCCAGCAGCGAGGGGCCCGGCCGCAGCGGCCCCCCCGCCTTCAGGATGGGGGATACCTCCGCCGGCGGGGGGGTCCTTCGGCGGCAACTCCTGGGAGCCTCCCATACCATCATGTCGGCTCTTGCGGATCGACGCTGATCGACGCTAAGTCGACGCCAAATCGACGCCAAGTCGACGCCAAGTCGACGCCAAATCGGCGCTGCCTCACTGACTTCCAGGCGCTAGTCGACGCTAATCTGCGCTAAAGACGGAACTGCGAGTGTACACCAGGCTCCCATGATTTGCCACCGAAAGATCCGAAGTTCGACGAGGCCGTGTCCTGCCATCGCTCGGACGTCCATTATCCCATGCACTTGTCAACTTCATGCGTTTTTTTGACTTGGGATGAACCAAAAAATCTTCTCGATGGTCCTCGCCGTGAAAAAAATGCACACGTCCGCTCGACGCCGAGGTTTATGGAAGAAACTACCGCGTGGGGAGGAAGGGGGTTGGGAAGGTGCAGGGTACGACTGTGTGACGAGGCGCTACTGGTGATATGATCATGTCTCCCAAACCCCATCCCCCCAACCTGATGTCTGCTTTTCTTGGGGATCCCAAGACCGTGCGGTGACAGACCGTGCGGTGACCTCAGAACCCCAAGAGACCTCACCGCACGGTCCGTCACCACACGGTTTTGGGACCCTGGAGGCTCCAGTCGCCCGAGACATCCTCGGAGAACGACCCAAGTCCCAAAACCGCGTGGTGACCCCGAATCCCCACCGACTCACCACACGGTGTGGTCACCACCCCGTTTGGGGGCCCCCGATTTTCTGCTGTACCATGCTTCGGCGATGCCCCGGGTTGTCCGGTGGGGGTGCGGGGGGGGGTGCTGGATGACCTAGCCTTTTCGCTCTGGGCAGCCCCGCGAGTGCCCGCGCGCACCGGTGCTGCGCACCCCCTTCGGACCAGCGCAACGAACCAAGTCTGATCATCCGAAAGGCGGGGACGGGCGGGCCTGATCACCAGGATGCTCCCCAGCGCCCTAAAAAAAACTGTTGCGCTGAGGCTCGAGCGTTGTCGAGCGTTTTCGCCAGCACTCCAGCCTCGGGATGCTCTCCAGCAGCTGTTCCTCGCCGAGGGCATGCCGGGGCAGCAGCTGAGCCTCGCCGAGAGCGCTCTGGGGCGGGATCTGGATCGTCCCGAAGCGCCACCGGAGGCCCGGGCTATGGCCCGAAGACCACTGGGGACGGGGATGGGCTCAGTGGGGAATGCCTCGCGGGATACAGCCAAAACATCACCACGAGAGCGCGGGTCAAGAATACAGTGGAGGCCGGTCCACAAGAAAACCGTCCACCAGAAACCCAACCCTGAGACCCCAGGACGTCCATTGATTTCTGGCGTGGGAGCGTCGCGCTTTCCCCGGCAAGACCGCCGAAGCCCAGCAAACCCCGGGGGGCACCCTAGAGGCAAGCAGGGCCCTTCTCGGCACGGGCATCCACTGCATGAGGCCCTCCGCCGATGCAAGGCCTCGGGCTGCGCGGACAGCAATCCCCCCGCCGATGCAATGCAAGCCCCCCCCCCCAAAGGATCGGGAGCGGCCAAGAGGGGGGTGTCCAAAGGGGGGGGGGGGGAGGGGCAAATCATAACCGGCGGCATGTGCGCGGCCCAGCGGGGGAAACAAGAAGAGGCGCCATGAAATCTGGGGAAATATCACTGCCCCCGCCATGATATCCACCCCCCCCTAGTCATCACCCCCCTCTTTTCTGCCCCCAAGGAGTCCCCGGGTGGCCTCCACAGGCCCCCCCCCGAGGGGAGCCCTGGGCGGTCTCCACGCCCTGGCGGCGGCCTCCAGCGGCGCCCTGGGGCGCTCTTCCTCCTCCTCCTTTCCTCCTCCTTTCCTCCTCCTTTCCTCCTCCTTTCCTCCTCCTCCTCCTCCTCCTCCTCTCCTCCTTCCTCCTCCTCCTCCTCCTCCTCCTCCTCCTCCTCCTCCTCCTCCTCCTCCTCCTCCTCCTCCTCCTCCTCCTCCTCCTCTTCCTCCAGAGTTGGGGCGCTGAGACCGCCCTGGGCTGCTCGGGGCGGCCTGTGGGGGTCATCAGGTGCTACATGGGGGGGGCCCGTCTCTGCACAGCCCGGAGGCTTGCAAACAAGGTGTTTTTTGATCCGCGGGTCGGGAGCGCCCCTCTTCCGGTGGAAGCTCAGCGGGCCGCGCGAAGCTTGAAATATAGGCGGAGGGAGCGGAGGCTTACAAGCAAGGCCCCGTGCAGATAGGCCCGCAAAGGAAAGGCCGGGGACGCCAAAAGGCACGGAGACTGCTGCTCCGAAGGCCTCTCCCGAGCAGCATCCTGTCTTTGCACAGCCCGGAGGCTTACAAACAAGGCCCCCCGTGCAGATAGACGCACAAAGGGAGGCCGGGGACGCCAAAAAAGGCACCGAGGCCGCTGTTCCGAAGGCCTCTTTCGCGAGCAGCATCGGGACCTCATCTTCCTCCTCGGAAGAACGTTCCGAGGTGGGGAGCCCGAGCACGAGGGCAACAAGGGTGTCAAAATGCAAACGTCTACGCACCATGACACACCGTTCAGTCACGCCAGGCAGCGAGGTGGCGTGTCGGAGGCAACATCTTCATGCTGCCCTCGGCCCCTCGCCGGCTCAGTCTGCCCTCGGGCTCAGCTGTCCCTCCCCGCAAAAGCTCACGTGGTTATCGCTAAAATAGGGGGGGCGATTAATATGGGGGCGGGGGTGGGGGGGAAGGTGCCCTCATCGGGCCCGAAAGGCCCCCGTTGGGGCGCCCATCCAGAGCGTTGGGGTGCTCCAAACCCTCGAGCCAGCTTCACGTCGTCGCAGGGTACAGCAGGTTCGTGCTGTTAGGGGGCCACGCGCGAACCCTACCCCTACCCCCCACGACTTCTGAGGGAGAAGGTGGGGTTCACTTCGCTCGGGAGCTCCCGGACGAAGTGAACCCCACCCTCCCCCTCAGAAATCGTGGGGGGTAGGGGCAGGGTTCGCATGTGGCCCCCTAACGAAGGCCACAAGGGTGCCCATCCTGAGCGTTGGGGTGCTCCAAACCCGCGATCGGTACTTAGCCTGGGAAAGTCGGACATTCCCCGGGAAAAACGGACATTCCCCGGTAGCACCGGGGAATGTACGATTCCTGCGGCGCTTCTTTTGCGAATGTTTCGAGCGGGGTCGGGCTGCAGAGTCTTCGAAAGCCAACTGGTTGGCTTACGTGTGACCATTCGGTTTCCGAAAAAACATACCGGGGAATGTCTGATCTCGGTGTGCTCGCGCGTTGTAGTACTGGTGATGGTAATGGTAGTGGAAATGATAATGGTAATGGTAGTGGTAGTGGACGTGGTAGTGGTAGTGGTAGTGGTAGTGGTAGTGGTAGTGGTAGTGGTAGTGGTAGTGGTAGTGGTAGTGGTAGTGGTAGTGGTAGTGGTAGTGGTAGTGGCAGTATTAGTGGTAGTAGTAGTAGTAGTAGTAGTATCAGTAGTAGTAGTAGTAGTAGTAGTAGTAGTAGTAGTAGTAGTAGTAGTAGTAGTTGTGTAGAAGTGGTAGTAGTAGTAGTAGGAGTAATAGTAGTGGTAGTAGTAATAGTAGTAGTAGTAGTAGTAGCAGTAGTAGTAGTAGTAGTAGTACTCGTCGTAGTAAGAGTAGTAGTAGTAGCAGCAGCAGTAGTAGCAATAGTAGTAGTAGTAGTAATAGTAGTACTACTACTACTACTACTACTAGTAGCAGCAGTAGTAGTAATAGTAGTAGTAGTTGTAGTAGTAGTAGTAGTAATAGTAGTAGTAGTAGTAGTAGTAGTTGTAGTAGTAGTAGTAGTAGTAGTAGTAGTAGTAGTAGTAGTAATAGTAGTAGTAGTAGTAGTAGTCGTCGTCGTCTTTCAGAAGCCTCTCAGAAGCCTCTCAGAAGGCTCTCAGAAACCTCTCAGAAGCCTCTCAAAAGCCTCTCAGAAGCCTCTCAGAAGCCTCTCAGGAGCCTCTCAGAAGCCTCCCAGAAGCTTATCAAAAGCCTCTCAGAAGCTTCTCAGAAGCCTCTCAGAAGCCTCTCAGAGGCCTCTCACAGATTCTACCGGGGAATCAAGCCGGGGAAGGGTTGCACCCGGGAATGTTCGATTTTCCCTGGGAAAGTTTGATATTACCGGGGAAAGTACTTTTGTCCTCCAAACCCTCGTGCCAGCTGCACGTCGTGGCAGAGTACAGCAGGTTCGTGCTGTGACGACTTGCGCGCTGGGTTCTGCCGCCGCGCGGAGCGTTCAACCTTGAAAGGTCACTGCGCCGACCTTACAGACCTGCTGAAGCGGATTCGCGCGTGGATCTCTGTCAATGCAAAGCACCGAAACGGCGAGCGAAAAACGAAGTGACTTTCACGTGGATGTTTTGTAGCCTGCAGTCCTTGCCAAGCAAATCCGCACGATATTCACTTCGAAATCTGGAACGAAATTCTCCAGGACAGTATGGGCCCATCCCATTGTTTTCCGAACGAAATCCGCTTCGCGATGTTGACGCCATGAGAAACGAGGTGTGAAGTAAAGGGATGCGTTGCCAGTGTTGAACACTTGCCATCGCTCGGACGTGTATACCCCGTGCATGTGTCGGCTTCGCGCGCTTCTTTTCCGCAAGATTAGCCAGGATGCTCCTCGATGGTTCTCGCCGAGGAAAATGTACGCGTCCGAGCGATGCCAGGAAAATGGCGACGCGATCTACGATAGCCGCACATGTCTTCCATTGCGATTTCAACAACGTTGGTTTTGGGTCGACCGCTTCAAATTGAGTCGTAGTCTGCAACTCCAACTTCGAAAAACGGCCGCCGGCCAATTGAACGGCGACACAAGGGTTCATTCCATAAGGCCCGTTCGCCAGGCACGCGGATCGTCCGATAACGGTGGATTCCAAACCACTGGCGTCGTTCAACCTTGAGCGCCCGCGCTGGGGTCGCCGCTGAGTCGCCACGCCGCAAACCTACTGTAGTTTCTATGTGAACGTTCTCTTATTCGACGTTTCGACATTGGGTGGGGTGGGGAGGGGGGGGTCTGGCTCCGGACATGTGCTTAGCGCGACTGTTTGAAACAGGGCTT